GATTTTCTAGTTCTTCTGTTGTGGTATTAATGCCACTAAAGGAACTACTGATCTTTGCTTTTGATAAGAATTATTTCAGAGTCTCTGTTGTGGGAATTATTGAAGATGAAGTGGCTTCTCGTTTGCTGGCTTTCCACAGTAATTTCTTTGAATGGTTTTACAAATAGAACAATTTTTAAACGAAAGACCACTGATATAGGCTCAACGTAGGAGTTTTATTATCTATATCATATGTGACAAGGGCTTTTTTCTGTTCCAGCATGTAGTATGTAGAATTCCAGAGAGTAGGAACATCTTGAATTAATTTGTGTTTCTGCAAACCTAACTTTTCTTGCAAATCTTCCAATTTGATTACAGCTACAGTAGAATGATTAAAATGTGTGACAATATTTCTATTAACTGTGATTATAGTTTTCACATCTTGTTCAGAAAATATGCATTCGTTTAGTGTCAGCTGCAGCGTATGTATAAATCATGATAATGCTTCTAAGTTGCAATTCCTAATTCTAGCTACCGGATTTGCTGCAGAATCTCTTAGTATTAAGAATATCTTATCACTTGTCAACTTATACTGTTTAAGAACAATTTTTAACTGCTCACTGATACGTGTAGCTGTGTTGGAACCTTGAAAGGGAACAATTTGCAAAACAGCTCTTTCCTGCTGAAAATCATTATTTAACCAGTGGGCTGTTACACTTAAATAAAAAGAATTGTTTGTAGTTGCTGTCCAAATATCAGCGGTTAAAGAAATATATTTTGTTTCTGTTAAACACAGAAACACTTCAGCTTTTTAAACAATGTCGAAGTTTCCATGCGTCAACAATTAAGTGTTGAGATTTATTTTAGAAACAAAGGAAGAGATTGTTGATTTTGCGAGGATATTCGATCGTCTCTTGTTTACCTGACCCAAGGGAGATGGAAATACCAGGTGGAGAAAAATGGGTTTTTCCCACATTATAATTAACTATATAATTAACTCCGGGATCTCACACTATTAATGCAATAAATTATTAACACTAATCGGCCGATTAATCGGTATCAGCCAGATAATGCATGGCCGATTAATCGGTAATCGGTAATTGGTCATTTTGCTTATCGCTGCATCCTTACTCTTTATTAGCATTTACAAGTTTTTAAAATAAAACTCTTCTTTCAAAATTAAGCTGTTTGCCAGTTTATAATACAGTAAGTGATCGGTTAACGAACACTTTAGCGAACGATTTTTATAATCGGACAACGAACACATGTTCGGATAACGAACACTTCACTGAACAAACACAAGAAGCGACGTAAAATATCAAATACCGATTGGTCTTCCTTTGTCTTCAGGCAACAATTCGAAACTTTTCAGTGCGCGGGAGACGTCGACATCGACGTTCTACCCAGTATAGCCTATTCTGATCGAATAGTATTTCCCCGAACTTTAGAACTCTCCCTTGTAATTCCAGCCTTTTATATTTCTGACAGAAATAACTCTTTTGCGTTTTCTTCTGAAAATGCGGATTTATGTCGATATCTGCTATTAAAGATCTTTTGAAGAAGTGGGAGGATGTCAGAACAACGGTCTTAAAATGGCATCCAAACCAAGTTGCGGTTAATAGGCTTAGGAATCTGTACAATTACAATACGATTAATTACTTTCGAAAAATCCTGAAGAGGAGAGAAAAGCAACCGACGTTAGACAGATTCTTTAACCCCCCACAAACAGAAAAAAACAGGACTAATAAAAATGCAAGACCGTGTATATACGTATTTTTATTATTAAATATGAATAAACATGGTAAGAAAGTATATATTTTTTTATTTTTTGACAGTCTCCAGAACAAATTATTCAAATTTCCATAGAAACCTATGGTAAATCGAAAATCGTTTAACGAACAAATCAAATAGCGAACATGTCTTGGAACGGATTATGTTCGTTAACCAATCAGCGAGACACACCGTGGTTAAAAACAGAAATTTAACAAAATATATAATTTTATCAATCTGTCGTCGTCAGTTTTTCCGTCAGAAAACGTGTCTAATGTTTTAGGGTGCGATTTATCTGAGGAAGCGAGCGAGAATATGTGGCGAGATGAACTGATGACGTTTCACGCTCTCGTTTATTACGACCACAAGGACGAGAGCGAAAAACAGAGTGTGAAACGTCATCACTTCTTCTAGCTCCCTCGAGTCTGCATACTCGCACCCTTAATGAGAAGTGTGTACTAGTTATGATTTAAAAAGTAAAGAATATTCAATGTTATTTTTATGTACGTTTCTTTACAAAACAATATTTAATTATAATTACAGTCTATTGACAGATTTGCAGACAAAATCTTTACAATTTCTATCAATTTTAGATATTAATAATTTTAAATATGAAAAACAATTTTCCAAAGCGAGTTTTAATTCTTTGAACTAAGTCAATTTTATAGTGTTTTTCATTTATTTAAATTACGAAGTGAATTGAAATATTTGTGTCCAGACTATTACTCTTAGACATGGGCATTGTGTAAAATTACATTTTCACAGGGTTTCATCTAGTTTCGATAGGTCTTGTGCCAGAATATTGATACTATGTCATACGTACACCTATAAAACCAGTAGACTTTATTTCACCTATTTGAGTCCTGTCTTAGGTGAATTTGAATAAATTAATTACTTCGTTCAATAGAAATGACAGATATTTTAGAATATTTAATGAATTATGCAGCTTTTCATTATGCAAAGAAGAGTTTTGTTTCTTGAATTTGTGAAACTTCACATAGATTTAAATGATGAATCGCACTATCTGTCAAATGAAAAGATTCATTTTGGACAATGAATTTTCAAACCTTTTAGTAAATAAAGTTACATTAATGTAATTTCTTATGAACAAGCATTTATATTTAAAGATGTTAAAACTTTTTAAAAAGAGCGTGTAAAGAAATTTTTACTCGCATACCTAAATACATCGAATTACTCAAAAAAGAATTAGCTTTATCTCCCAATATTTACTAAAGTGCTACTCGTTCTCTATTTTGAACTCTTCCCCTAGCTCTGACTGATCAATCCAAAATTGGAGAAATACAGAGACAATGGCGGAATGTAATTGACAGTAGACTGAACAAGTATTTTTCAGTCTACTGTCAGATAATGTTCTAACTGACGTTACGGAGTTTTAGTGCGAGTCACAACTGTTAAAAATGATGTAATAGATCCTACATTTCCCGAAATATCGAAATTTGCATTGTGTTTATGTTTCTTGCTTTTTCTATGGTGACTTCAGTCAAAACCAAATTGAGAACAGGAAAATGAGCTTGGATCTTCCAGCATCAATTTTGAGAATAAAATATTTTTCAAAAATGAAAACATAGGCTGCTTTACCCTTAGTATAACCAATACCATGCTAAATTTTGATTCAAAACTTTTTGATAAAGAAGCGAGTGAAACAGAAAATACTTTAAATGCATTAAATTTTCAATTTTTAAAGGTAATTATACTTTTCTTATGATCTAATTTTGTTTAATTTTATGTTATTACTGCATTAGGCTACTTTTTACTTTAAAACAACTTGTAAATGCTAATAACGAGTAAAATCGATCAATCATACTGGAGTTACACAAGACTGCTATCATCTTTTCATTTTATTGACCTTTAACTACCAAAATTTAATAGCATGAACGTTTCTAATAAAGAAACCTAATTGCAGAATTTCAGAAATTTACCACAAAAAGCATAGGACTTATTAAATAGAACACGGAAATACTCTCTAAACTTCAGTTTTCAATACAAAATGTTCGTCATCTTTCGTTCTCTCAAATCTCGTTTCTACAGATCGACTCATGATAACCACGTGTATAAGCTTCAGGTACCGATTAGAAACACGTGTATGCTTACAATCTGACCTTTTAAAATTGTTTTTAAAATAGATATATTTAAAATTACCTTGAATTATCAAATCGCTACTAAGGCGATTATAAAATTTTATAATATAAAATTTATATTATGTACTTATTTATTTGCTCTTCTTTGTTACCTTCTTTCTGTGTGACGTCTGATTTGAAAATGGGTCTCTGGAGAACAGGCACAGTAAAGGAAAATTTGGATTGCATTTTTTTCTAGCGCCAAGCAAAATATTTCTCTGCCATCGAAAGTTGTCCACTGCAATTTTAGTTTTTATCACCTGTAACATAATTACTTTATTATTTTACCGTATCATTAGCATTATTATTAGTATTAATCATAGGCGTGCAATCCATTATAGCTGTGGAAACGCTGCTTCTATTGTATTTTTTAAAATACAAATACATATTGTGCGATCATTTTTATATTTTAACGCGTAATGTATTTTATTGCAAATTCTTGTACTACGTGTGAAAAACAACATTATTATTGCTATTGTACTGTACATTCGAATATAAATTCGTATATGCATCTTCCGAATGAAAACGCAGTATTATCGAATATGGGACAGCATCCACGACCAAAATATTTGAATGGTAAGAAGCCAGAATACAGGCATTTGCACATGCACTTTACAGAGCATCAACCTCCGGGTTTAGCTGGTGGATGCTACACACTTAAATATCGTATAACGCTTCCAATGATTCTACCCATTAGCTCCTGGTAGGGAGCTATTTGATTAAGTGCATTGTTTTAAACAATATCTAATTATATATTTGTATCAACTATTTGTTACTGCACACGTGCATGCAAGGAATTGCAGAAGTGACGTCAGGCTCGACGTGTTTTTTTTACGTCAGAAAAAATTTCCTGCGTTAATTGTTCGTGTGTGTACGCTTGTTTGCGCGGAAACGACACAACTTTAGTATTTTTAATATCGCTTGTTCTTGTAGATGAAATGTATTACGGTGAATTAAAGTAATTTTTGCGTGTTTCTTAATGAAGTTGTTCTAAATCCGGAAATAAAGCATCGTTCGTAACTTTGAAACAATCGCTTAGTGCCATTACGTTTTTCGCATCAGATCCCAACTTCCATCTACATAAGAAAGTATTTAGACACAGAGCAAGACACACGGAGATGACAGTGAGAATTTACTGGTCTAACAATTTATTGAAATTGCAGCTAAAAATTTAACTTTTGACTTACTGCATAAAATTTCTTCGTACCAAAAGTAAAAACTAGGATATAAACACCAAAAGATTTAGTATGATAAGACGGCTTTTGTCTGACAAAAAATGAAACAAATTAAAAACATGCTCATAAAGTCCCATAATATGTATATATAAAACACGTACAAGTATATAATAACATTTTAAATATATATTGAATATTGTAATGTTTCTTAGTTAAAACATTTCAGAAAGTCGAAGATGATCATTACAATTTAAAACCAGTTTTTTTACATCTTTCGATAATTCTACATCAATAAAAATTAAAAATAACATTCCTTGAAAATTTCAAAGTGTGAATATTTTAATCTACTGTTAAATCTTGGCTTCAAATGAAATTCGCTGTACATAATTAGTATTCATATGGCTATCGTCTGTTGTGAATCCAAAGGTGTCTAATTAACTGTGATTTCCATGTAAATTTCTGTTTACACTCGTCACAACAGTAAGGCTTTTCACCAGTGTGGATCCGAAGGTGTTCAATTAAGTTTGATCTTTTTGTAAACTTCTTTTTACACTCGTCACAACTATAAGGCTTTTCTCCAGTGTGGAGCCGAAGGTGTTCAATTAAGCTTGATTTTTGTGTAAACTTCTTTTTACACACTTCACAACTGTAAGGCTTTTCTCCTGTGTGAATTCGAAGGTGTTTAATTAAGCTTGATTTTTGTGTAAACTTCTGTTTACACTCGTCACAACTGTAAGGCTTTTCACCATTGTGGATCCGAAGGTGTTTAATTAAGGTTGATCTGTGTGTAAACTTCTTTTTACACACTTCACAACTGTAAGGCTTTTCTCCTGTGTGAATTCGAAGGTGTTTAATTAAGCTTGATTTTTGTGTAAACTTCTGTTTACACTCGTCACAACTGTAAGGCTTTTCACCATTGTGGATCCGAAGGTGTTTAATTAAGGTTGATCTGTGTGTAAACTTCTTTTTACACTCGTCACAAGCGTAAGGCTTTTCTCCAGTGTGTACCCGAAGGTGTTGAATTAAGCTTGATTTTTGTGTAAATTTCTCTTTGCACTTGTCACAACTAAAAGGCTTCTCTCCTGTATGGATTCTTTCATGATTTTGCAAATTTTGTTTAGTTTTGAAATTTTTCTTACAGCGTTTACATGAAAATTGTTTTTGGTTCCATTTCTCTGCAATTAAAAAAATCGTTTTTAAATAATATTTTATCCATGTATAACAAAAACTTTTTAAAATAAGAACAATAATTAAATAATAACTGTAATATCTAATAGCAAATTTCTGCATCAAAACACAAAAGAGTAATTTTAAAGATAATAATGTTCGAGTAATAATATATTATTTTACTAATATTTTTAATAACAGTTAATCAGCGACGACATATTAAAGTAAACAATTTCTGTAAAACATTTTTGAAGTGTAATGCTCATGAATTCTTCTTTTATATCTTTGCAGTGGACCTCCCGCTTCTTTTATATTTTAATCGAAGATCACCGATGTAAGTAAAGCAGTGTATGTAATATACAATTTTGTTATAAGCTTGGACAATATTTTCTTCAAAATTAAAACCATTGTTTCATCCAAAGAACGTCTGAAAATAATAACATAAATTCTATACAATTTAATGTATTTAAATGAGTTTAATATTAGAATGTATTATTCATATTTTTATTCATTTCTATTGTTAAATGTAAAGTTGTATAATATGTTACATTTAAATAAAAAGAATATTGCATTTTTAAAACACTTATAATATGTATACTTTCCTCATAACTCCTTCTCGATAAGAAAAACTCACAACATAAGAATTTTTATTTCACCCTTGCCTAACATTAAATGATGGATTTCATTCTTGCGAAATTGAATTTCGTTCGTCTCCTTGTCAGTTTCTCTTTTCTCTATTTTCAGGTGAAGATCAGCTAAATGGAAAAAATAAAACGATCTTACATATCAGACAAATTTATTTTCAATGCTTATTGTTTATAGTGAAGAAAATTTCCATTTTCCACGCCAAATAATTTAAAATAAATAAATTCTATTCTAAATTAATTGATATTTACAAATGAACATTGTATACATTTACTAAAATACCAATCAATTTTTGAATAATTTATTTTGTTAATGTAAAATTTTCTGTGATAAAGTGTCATTCGTGAATTTTTTGAAAATTGTAACCTTTTAAAAACTTATCTATACGAAAAACATCTATATAGAATGGAAATGGTACGTAAAAAATAACTCTAAATTAAAACTATGGTTTATTATTGTAAACGTTTACATTGAACAACTACCTACAATATGAAACAGAAAAGAAAAGATTATGAGTTAAAGCTTGAAACATTTTGAGTCGACTGCAAATTTAACATCTTTGGTTCTGTTGGTCGAACTGTAAACAGAACAACAATTGGCATAAGCTTTTCCTTAAACGTAGAATAAGATGTGTTAGTTTGTCATCCGTGAACACCATGTGTAGATAAAAGACGTGTGTTTAATGTTGGAAGTACGTATGAAGAATGTCGATATATTTTATTAGAAAATTTAAAAGCTTTCACTGAAAAACTACGTATCTCGAATTTCTTATAATTTCATCACGATAATGATCCAAAACACAAGTTTTATAAAGTGGTTGCTGTACTGTTGCCATAAATGATTGAGTCACAGACAGACTTTAAACCGAAATGTAATCGGATATTCATAAATGAAGTTAGATAGGAAAATCGGAGAATCATAAATTACTAACAAAAATGAACTAAAAAGTACGTTTGAACAACAATGATCAGAAAACCGGCGAACGCCAATGAAAAACTATTAATGGACAATTACTGCCAGATTAGTTGAAAGCTGGGTTGAAAAGAAAAACACTCCAACAACTTATTGAAATATTCAATCTTTTAATATAAGTAAATTTTAAATTGAAGTAATTTCCTTTTAACATAAAAAAAATGTAGCAACGAGTTGCGTATCTTTTCCGTCAATAACATTTAAAACTACTCCATTATATTTTATTAAAAATTTGTGTAATCGATTAATGTACCGAGTCAAATAATGTAACTACCCAATACTAACGATGTTTCAAATTTAAATTTCCAACGAATTCATTATGTTATTTAAATTTAGAAATAGTTTAACTATTAATATGTTTATGAAAACTATTTTCTCTAATATTTATTTTCATTCACGTTTCATGTTATAATAATAAGAGTTTTAGCTAGAGATTGGCAATAGAAAAACGTGTGAGGCACAAAAATTCGCTGAACTTTGGAGATATCTCGTGATAGATCATAATACACTATAGTATTTTAACTAGAAACGAATTATTGTTACTATTAGTGACTATATGGAACAAAAAAAATAAAACCGCTGGTTAACGACAATAATTCTATCATAATATAGCCTATATTGTGATGATAAATATTAATCAGATGCAACATAAGATGTCTAATGTCTAGATGTGAATAAATATTACCGGTATACAATTTTGTTTACGACATGAGAGATTAGGCCATTTAAAAGTAAAGCAGAATTATTAGTTATTTATCATACGTTATTATACGTTGATTTTAGTCCATATTTACGATGGAATAATGTTATAATATTTCTATTAATGATGTCTTTAAAATTCAGCGAATTACTCGCAAAGAGAATAAGTTATTAGGAAAAACGTCAGATATAAGTAGTCACGTGACACGCTTCGTACGCGTCCTCCGTCCGATGTGCCGTTCCGCGACGAAAACAAGCTTAAGCAATGACGTATTCTAACTGCGCACACTCGGTTAAGTATTCCTACAATTTTTTGTTTATCGCATATTTTATATGGATTATTCCCAAAAAATTACACGTGTTTTAAAAATGTTTGAGTCAAATTAGTCTAGAATCGATTAATTTCATGGAAGAAAACCTTTCAAACAGCCGTACCCCTAAACTGCACAAGTGCCCATTATTGCAATGAAACGCTTATTTCTACATTAGAAATGTTTAAGTAAACTTAACGGTTAGACACAGTCACGAAAGTAAAAGAAAAACTAAAATTATAGATGTAAAAAATAAGGAAATCGCTACTACTCACAAAAGGAATTTCAAGTTCGTTATTTCCTACCTTTCTTCTGGAGATTCTTTCACTGTAATTTTAGCTGGCTTCATTCTGAACTTCCTTTCTTTTCTTCATTTTTATTCATTAGAAAAGATAAATTCCATTATTTTTTATTTCGGATTCCTCTTCAATCTAAAAAAAGAAAGAAAAATAGACCTCGTATACGCAAGGTGAGCGCTTACCACTAGACTATTCTCTTCCTCTACTTTCCGTTTCGGTTGAAGTTTACTATCTGGGACCATCATGGCCGCCCTTCCTGAATCTCGAGCACAGGCGCGATTAGAAATGGTTGGTAGGCTGCGCCGGTGACATTGTGTGCACATATGCAAATAGGTTATCTTACAACATAAATGTGTACTTGTGAGAAATTATGCAAATTAGTTTCGTGTTAGGTGTGTGAGTCGTAAAAATTACTGTCGAGTTTATTTCAGTGAGTTAGTTATTAATTTGTTTTTTTTATAATGGAATTTAAGAATTGGACCACTGTGGATTTTATTCGTTATCTGATTTTTCTGAATTATGTCTCGATGTAAGATTTCCGTCAAATGTAAAATTTGCAATTAAACTAGGCTTTTAATTAATTAAACAGTCGAAACGGTGTGTGTTAAATGTAATGGAAAGTGTAAAATTTGTTTGAGAAGTGATGCAAATTGTGTTAGATTTTGATGTCGGAAATGTAACTTTAAAATGTCTGCTTATTAGGGGCCATTTACAGAAAAATGTGGCAATTTATCCTGGTCAAGTATTCTTTCCTTGATATGGCATTTAATTTGTATTGACTGTTCGTTGAAATCCGCTTGTTTGGCCGTAGGTATAAGTAAAAGAACTGCCGTTGATTTGGCAAATTACATTATACATGTAATGATAGTTTCGTTGAGTAATTTAAGTAATATGAAATTGGAGGACCGGAAAAGACAGTTGAGATAAATGAGACTGTGGTTTGCATATGAGAAAGGAAATATGATATGGAGAATATGAGAAAGGTCGGCAATTGAAAGGTACGAAATGAGTTGTAGGTGGTATTTGTAGGGAGGACAAAAAATGTTGTGTATGTTACGTTAATGATCAATGAGAGGAGAGCCTTAATTGGGTTGTGAGTAGGTTTGTACATTCAGGAAGTACTAATATGTACTTATATTATAGAAAGACCTAGTAATTTACTATAAATTACAAAGTTTTACTACGTTTTTACTCTAATGTTGATTACAAAAAAAGTAGGTCATATGAGGTGTAAGGTTGCCGACGTTTAGGGGCAATAACTTAATTGCGTCAGGAAAACTTAGGGGCGAATCGTATGTGTGTGGCGGCGGCAGGAAACAAAGATGACAAGTAACTTACCCGAAACCGTTTATTGTTGACATAAGATTAACTTACATATTATGAAAAACAATAACTAAGAATGTTGGATGTCAGATGAGGTGTGATGCTGGTGGGTGGAGGTCCTGGAATCTTCTCAGCATTTGTCCGAAGGAGAATCGGCTGTTTGTCTTTGAGATTTGGGGGTTTTATAGGATTTTCGCCGAACATCACCCTTTTGATTGGTCCCGTTCACCCTCTTTCTTACCCCGATTGTCATTCGTTTGTTTCTAGGCGAAATCCGAGGCCGATCCGAGTCGGGAAAGTTCGGAGAGGTGATAACGGAGCTTTTAAAAAAGAAAAAAATTTTATCAAAAGAAAATTTTATGTATACAGTAGAACCTCGAAAACTCGGCTCTCGATAACCCGGCACTTCGGATAACTCGGCCACACCCTGGCAGGGCAAAAAAATCCTTAGTTAATTAATTTTCATTATAGACAGCTTTATGACAGTATAAAAGCTCTCATAAAGTATTTTTCTGAGGTCTGTCTTATCAGGTTAAATTACTGTACACAGTGTAATCATTAATTTTCATTTTCATGTAGTAAAGGCTCTATGCCTTCACAAAGGACATACTTTTCCTTTGTTTAAGGGTATTTGGGCAGTTTATTCTCTGTTATATTCTCAAGTAAACAATACATACAAGTACAGTACAGTATTTTCTGAGGAAACTCTCGTACTTATTTTTTTAACCCCATTCCCGATAACCCGGCATTTTCACAAACTCGGCCACCCTTCGGTCCACATTAGGCCGAGTTTTCGAGGTTCTACTGTATTACACTCACTCAGCACTCGCTTGTAAACTCAAAAAAACACAACACCTTAATTTGCTGAGAAAACTTTTAATGAAAAGCTAACGTTTTCAGCCAACTCTATTGGCCATCATCAGGCTAAGCTTTTTCGAATACAAAGAAAATAGAACAAAAATTTTTAAATCAAACATTCTTTTAAAAATTCAAATTTGCATTCAGCCTTGACAAGTTTTAACGTTATTTTCCTATACTTCCTGTAATAATCCACCGGTGCCGCCATATTCTAACTATATTACACTCACTAAAGAATGTTTGATTTAAAAATTTTTGTTCTATTTTCTTTGTATTCGAAAAAGCTTAGCCTGATGATGGCCAATAGAGTTGGCTGAAAACGTTAGCTTTTCATTAAAAGTTTTCTCAGCAAATTAAGGTGTTGTGTTTTTTTGAAAATTTTATGAACACAATGAAATTATTAAAACTAATAAAATACACAGAATGACCTTAAATACAGGTGCAGTCATCAATGACATCTTGCAACCATTCCTATCTAAGTAGCAATACCCATTAAGATGTACTACCTCCCTCCCACTATCGTATCCCACTGTGTAGGTCAACACACCAAACATTCAGTGTACGATAGAGGGAATACTCACATCTTTTTAACCTCTCTCATCTAGTCTATGTTTTTCTCTACATTTCATCGGAATTATTTTGCACCCCACAGATATTCCGTTATTAATTTTATAAAAATTTCGCCTTTTAATTGTACCTAATTGTAGATTTAAGTTTACTCCGTTTTTTATTCTAGCACATATTACTATACTGTTTTAATGTCTATAAGGGTTGAGCTAAAAGAATTTTAGCTCTATGTTTCCCCTTTTTTCGCCTTAGTCTTCTCTATCACGAGTCCTGTTGTTTTAACTGTCACTATACTCTTAGGTAATATTTTAATGCATTCGATAAATCTGTAATCAATTTGGCTGATAAATCTGTTATAATAAGACTGAAGAGAAGTGTTAAGCCCGGAATGCATATTTATTCCTACCAATAAACAAACCTTCATCCACTAAAAGTGTTCTTATGTGATTTGTTCTTAACGGCAACATTATGCTAAGAAAACACATCTATTCCCTATGTTTAGAGATTCTTAATTAGGGTTCCCATCGCTGATTGGTTCCTTTTTTGTTCGATAATTTCTTCCTGGAAAGGATTTAGACCACGTGGAAAAGAAACAAAAGAAACAGGGTGTAGAAAAGAGAATAGTCTAGTGATCAAGGCTCTCACGTTGTGTGGACTAATACTACAGGTAACCCTCGTATAACACGGTAGTTACGTTCCAAAAAATTGCCGTGTTATGCGAAACAAAGAACTAGTACGAAAAGGAGGGTTAGGTTCCAAAGAACTAGTACGAAAAGGAGGGTTAGGTTCCAAAAATTAAAAAACATGCTGTTATATTTTCATAATTAAGATAATAAAATTTTAATAAAGATATTTAAGTGATACATATTAATATAAATTAAATAATGTTTTCTTCGTTATCACTAAAAGCACTATTAACCGAGGATAACTTGCTAAAAAGAAAACGGCAAGTTATCCGTATCCTCTGAGCATTTTTCTGCATTATCTTCAGATCCATGCTTTACCTTTTGCAAAATGTATGTAATTTTAGATTGCTTGCTTCTAGTTAAAAGGTCTTTATAAATTTCCTTATATGGTGCTAAGCACTTATGAAGAATGAAGCGAGTATGGAATAAGGAAAAAACATTCGGCAACATCAGAAGCAGAAGCGTCTCGATCTGGCAACATTGAAACAAGTTTCGAGAAGGACCACGTGTACGACAAAAGGCGAGAAAAGAAAATTTACATACTTAAGTACTAATAGTTCACGAAAATTATTATTTTCGTGAACTATTATTTCGTGATACTACTTAAGTATGTAAAAATTTATTACATTTCATGTTGTACGAAAGTTTTACCTAATCCTCGAACCGTGCCTAGAGTGAATCCGTGCTATAGAAGTGCCGTGTTATACGGGGGTTACCTGTATTTGTTTTTTTTTTTTAGATTGAAGAAGACTTAGGAATAAAGAATAATGGAATTTATCTTTTCTAGTAAGTAAAAGTAAAAGAAAAAAGGAACTTCAGAAAAAAGCCAGCTAAAATTACAGTGAAAGAATCTCCACAAGCAAGGTAAAAATGAACGAACTTGAAACCCCTTTTGAGAGTAGTAACGAGTTCCTTATTTTTTACATATATAATTCCAGTTTTTAGCTTTAACGGTTAAACACAATGATGAAAGGAAAGTTTACTTAAACATTTCTAATGTAGAAATAAACGTTTCATTAAAGTAATGGATATTCTATGGATTTAATATTTACTTAATCAACAATAAAAACTGAAATATGGCCTCATAATTCTGCTAGATATTTATATTTCATTTAGACTTAATTTTTAGTGTTATTTATCAATTTACATTTCAATTTTTAAGTTCTTTGACAATAAGAAAAAAAATTAAATTTCATATTATTCAACGTAACCGTTGTTATTTATATTTTAAAGCTTATCACACAGCAATGGAGTATAAAATTATTTACAATTGTAATAAATTTTATAATTACCAAAGTGTAATAAATTCTTCTGAAATACTCCATTGCTGTGTTCGGTAAGCCCTGAAATATAAATCGAAAATACGTTGAATAATAATGTAAGGTCAAGAAGCAGAGTTATTAAAGAATTAGTTAGGCTATATAAAACATATGTTTATAAATTTAGATAATAAATTTATAAACATTTAATCTGAATTTTAAAATAATTTGATTCTGTTCTCTTTTTAAGAAGTTAATCTCGAAAAATAAATCGTCGTTGTCAAATTTTAACTCGTGAATTTCGTTTTAGAATGTTACGATGTTACGGAAGCGTAACTCGAGCAAAGTTCGGGTTGCCCCTTAAGAAGTAGTCACGTGTTAGCAATCTAAATATATAAAACTCAAAGGTGACTGACTGACTTAGTGATCTATCAACGCACAGCCCAAACCACTGGACGGATCGGGCTGAAGTTTGGCATGCAGATAGATGTTATGACGTAGGCATCCGCTAAGAAAGGATTTTGATCAATTCTACCCCCAAGGGGATAAAATAGGGGATGAAAGTTTGTATGAAACTTTGTCAATTTTAAACCGATCGG